AAAAAAAACAAAATATGCAAGAGGGGATAGCCAAAGGGACAGGCTGGAGTTGCGGGGTGGAAGGAGAAATGTATGGCGTGACTTAACAGGCATGCATAACAAAGTTTATAAACTGTTCATTTCTGTATTTTTCTGCTAGGAAATGGTTGAGATCAAGTGGAAAACCATCTAAATAAAGCAATAATCTTATCACTGAAAGTCTTCAAAGGTATAGATGCCACTTGAATCTGATGTTTTCTTAATGTTAACTAGTATTGTGCCTTTAACAGGACTATATTTATTCTGGAAACAAATCAAAGGTTAGTTCAAGTGCTAGCTTAATAAGATCTAGTTGTGATGATCAAAAGCCTTTAAAGTCATTAAAAAATACTTAATCATATATATTAATAATATTCTTTTAAATTTTTTGAAAATATTTTTTAGTCAAGTAGAATAGTACACAAAGGAAGCTGCTTGCTACCATTAGCTTTGTTTTGTTAAAATGACAAATTTTTGTCATGTGTCATTGCTTTGAACCATGTTCACAGTGGTACATGTATGGCGGTGTGTGTGTGTGTCTGTGTGTGTAACAAAATCCATTGACACAGTTATATTGAAGCTTTTATTTATTTTTTTTTTTGAGTCAAAATCCAATGACACAGTTATATTGGAGTTTTATTTATTTTTTTCTCACTATGTCGCCCTTCATAGAGTACCACGGCATCACAGCTCACAGTAACTTCAAACTCTTGGGCCCAAGCAATTCTCTTGCCTCAGCCTCCCAGGTAGCTGGGACTGCAGGCGCCCCCCACAACGCCTGGCTATTTTTTGGTTGTAGTTGTCATTGTTGTTTGGGAGGCCCAGGCTGGATTTGAACCTACCAGCTCTGGTGTATGTGGCTGGCACCCTAACTGCTGAGCTACAGGCACAGAACCCTATATTGGAGTTTTAAAATAAACTTTTAAAAATAGTCTAGAGGTATGCCTATTAATTATATTATAAAATTGATAATCATAGAAACTATCTTCTCTAATAGCACTATATTATTTATCCTTCCTATATAGGAAAAAAAACAGAAAAATGGACAGCATCTAATGAACACCATTCTCTGCTCTAGTTTGATTCTTCCTGCTCCTAAATGTGACCTTAACTCTTCTCCTTCCCTTGCCTTCTGCCATAGCTCAGGTAAAAACTCCTATGCTCTTTCCATCATTCTGAGTTAAGGATCCCATCATATTCAACTATCACTTCTATGCAAATATTAAATCTGTATTTCAAGTGTCAACCTGTTTGTTATCTATGTCAATTCTACATCTGCTCATCAGCTATCTTTATGGGGGATATGGGAGAAGCACAGTAACGGAATAGTTAAACATACAAACTCTACCTAGCCAGACTGCCTAGGTAAAATTTCATCCCATCATTTATGAACCAAACAGCCTTTGAAAACTTCATTTGTAAAAAGAGATGTTGCTCTGCCACTAAAACAGGAATAAAAATGGAATCTACAACTCATAGATAGGCTGCAAGATTTAAGCTAGATAATACCCAATTATTAGAAGAACTTAGAACAGTGCCTGCCACATTGAAGACACTCAATAAAGCTCAACTACATTCATTACCTTATTAAAATATTTAGCTATAATGTCAAATACGACATGTTCAAAACCAAAACATGTCACCTCTCAAATTGAACTTCCTCTCTGGAATTCCTTACTTCATTGTAGCCAGAGACTTTGGAGTTATCTCCAACAACACTGAATGTGTAAAGAATTCTTCCTTCCACCTTTGAATGCCTCCATTTTATTTTTTAGTTATATTTTATTTTTTAGAGACAAGGACTTGCTCTGTTGCCTAGGCTTGAGTGGAGTGGCATGATCTTAGCTCACTGCAGCTTCTACCTCCAGAGCTTAAGTGATCATTCAACCTCCGACTCCTGAGTAGCTAGGACTAAAGGCATTTGCCACCATACCTGGATAACTTTTTAATTTTTTTGTAGAGATGGGTGTCTCACTGTGTTGCCCTGGCTGTGAACACCACCACTTTAGACGCAACCATCTGAACATAAACTACTACATCCTAACTGGACTCCTGTTCTACACTATTCCTTACATACAACTTCATGCTAATGCTACAATTATTCCTCTGAGACCATAGGAGCAAATACTGTTAGAAAATAAAAATGTTTTAAAGTTTACCATTTACAATGGTATAAAGATATAAAAATACTTACTGCACAGGAAAAAGAGGAAAAGGATAGATTACTTTTGTTTTATGATACTAGAATAGCTCAAAATGTGAGAGTAGACTAAAATACCTCAATTCATGAGTTAGAAAACTCAAAACTGGGAAGATTTAATTATCTTCATAGTCATCGAAAGATCTGATGTAATCACAATCAAAAGTACAATGGTATTCTTTGTTGAGCTTAAAAACTGATAGCAAGTTTATACAGAAAAACAGTGAAAGAGCCAAGACACAGACACTTATAAAGAAGAACTACAAGCTAGTAGGCACTATCAAATATCTCAATATAAATCTGTACTGCTTATGACTGTAGAACAAGAATGAGAATAAAGAAATACATCGATGGAATGAGACAGAGAATGCAGGAACAGACCCAAACACCTATGGACACTCAACATATGAAAGTAGGGGTAAGGGACAGTTAAAGGAGAAGGAGTAAATTTTTAAAAAAACAACAATGAATGATAACAAAACAACTGGATATCTACACAGAAAAATATAAAATAAAATTGGACTACTTGCTGGTACCAGACGCATACAAAAACCAATGCCAGATGGATTATAGACCTAAATGCAAAAGGTTAAAGCCATAAAATGTTTAGAAGACTATACTGGAGAGTATCTTAAGAGCCTCAGGGTAAGGAAGATCTCTAAACAGTTAGAACACAGACCAAAAGGAATGGATTGATAAATTTTAAACTAGTATTTCTCTTCATCAAAATACATCATTAAAGAAAGTTACAAAATAAGCCACAATTGAGAGAAGATATGTTTACCATGTATAATTCTTACCAATTAGAACACATAAGATATATACCTACTATTTGTAGGTATGTACAAATAGTACAGATTTTATGTATTTCAAAAAAGAAAGTATCAAAATGAACAAATGACCTGGAAAACCATTTTACAAGAAAAATCAACCAAATGGCCAATAGACATATAAAAAGATGCTCAATCTCATTCATAAACCCATGGAAATGCAAATATAAACCATAACAAGATACCGAATCACTAATAGACGTGCAAAAATTTAAGTCTGTATATATCAAGTATTGGTGAGAATAGAGAATACAGAACAACAAACACAAATATACATTACTGGCAGAAATGAACTCTGGTACATCCACTTGTGAAAAAGAGATTGGCACTGCCTACTAAAGTTTGAATGAGTACATATCTGTGACCCAAAATTCAACTTGTAGGTACATATACTAAAATAATTCTTCCATGTATGTACCAGAAAACGTGTTTAAATATTCATAGCAGCAGTGTTCATAAAAGCAAAACAGTGGGAAAAGCTCAAAGCTCTATCAATAATACAATGGATAAATTACGGCAAATTTTATGAATGGCCAGAGTTATTTTACACCCATCAACATGAATAAATGTAAAAGTAAAATGCTGAGGAAAAGAAGTAAATCTCAGAAGAACACAAACAGTATAAGTCCAATAAATAGAGTTCAAAATAGGTCTAAACGTTATAACATGTTGTTTAAAGATACATTTATAAATGATAAATTCACTAATAAAAGTAAATGAATGACTCACTAAAATCAAGAAAAAGGTTACTCCTTGGTAGCTATGATTGAAAAAGGGACACAGAGTGGTTTCTATGATCTGACAATGTTATATTTCTTCCTTGGGGTGAGAGATATATAGGTGTTAAGTTTATTATTATTATTAACCTGTACATTCTTTATAAACTCTTAAGTATGCATAATATATTTCACAAGAAAACCAACAAGGGGGGAGGGTACTGAATATGAAAGTAAAGTTAAGAAGGGGAGAATTTTTAGAAACCTGGCTGAGAAGTCAAGAACAAAAAAAGAGCAATACATAACAGAGATTAGACCTGGGCATGTTTAAATACCAATGAAAAGGGGTCAATTGGGTGGAGAGGTTAAAAATATGGATGGAATGAAGAGATAATTTACAGAAGGGGGTTTCTATGAAGGGAGGTGGAATAAGATTCAAAGCATCTATAAAAAAAGGATACTTCTTCCTCTTTAACTTGAGGGAACAAAGCAAGAAGACTTATATGCCCACCTTCCCTAAAAGGATGTATTCTCTTGAAGGTCAGGCATTATAACACCTAGAACAGTGCTAACAGGCAGGAAAGAGAAGAGAGGAAAGGGCGGTGTCAGGCAATTTCACAAAGTATACCCTGGATTCTCTGAGAAAAGCACATAGTTAATACTTTAAAAATATTCAAATCACCTATAGCTAACATTACAAATAACTCAAATCACCTGTTTAAAAAGTCCACATTAGAGCCAGGCACAGTGGCTCACACCTATAATCACAGCACCCTGGGAGGCTGAGGACAGTGGATCATCTGAGCTCAGGAATTCAAGACCAGCCTGAGCCAGGGCAAGACCCCATCTCTATTAAAAGTAAGAAAAACTAAAAACTAGCCAGGCATTGTGGCAGGCGCCTGTAATCCCAGCCACTCTGGAGATTGAGGCAAGAGGATTGCTTGAGTCCAAGAGTTTGAGGTTGCTATGAGCTATGATACCACAGCATTCTACCTAGGCCATCAAAGAGAAACTCCGTCTCAAAAAAAAAAAGAAAGAAAGACAGAAAGAGTCCATATTAAAATATTCTTTATCAGACAAATTCAAAACACAATAACCTTAAAAGTCTAACTCATATTTTTTATAATATATACTAAATATTTATATTGACATTAGGAACCTTTTAAAAGCAAATTTTAAAATCAAAATTTCTTTGATTATATAATATAAAATAGAAAACAATCAACTTCTACTTACTTAATTGAGTTTCTAAAGTGGTCTTCTGCTGGGTTTTTTACAGTGCAACTGTTCAGGAGCCATAAATCTGCATCTGATGCATTTTCTATTAACAAAATGAATACAAAAAGAAAAGTAAATAGCACATTTAATAATTCAAAACTATTCAAGTGCTTATTCAGATGGCACTGAGATTTCTAAGGAAGGGAGAGAAAAGCAATGAGTAAAGTCATGTAAACAGGCAAATACAACACGGTAGGCAATTGCTATCATATAGAAATGATTCTGAGCAATATTATAAATATGTGCTATCCAGGTTCTATCTTTTCACTTCAAATGTAATCAGGATAAGCATTTTCTTCCTTTGTATTCAATCCTTGAGAGTACCATTTAATAACTTCCAAAAACTAAAGTGAAGTTGGCCCCCATCTCACATCTGAATATAAAATTAACTTCCCCCTTTGGACTATTTGTTCAGATTCGTCAGGCACAGTAATTGGCATACACTAACTATTATTCAACTTGAGAAGTTACTAAAAATTAGCTGGACACCATAGCTCAGTAGTTAAGAGTGCTGACCCTACAGATCACAGGTGGTAAGTTTGAACCTCGCCTGGGCCTAAGGAAAAAAAAAAAAAAAAAAGAAAAAGAGAGAAGTTATTAAAATATAACTTGTTGTAACCTAATCATTTGTACCCTCATATTAATCTGAAATTTAAAAATATATATATATACATATGTATATATAACTTGTCTGCCTTAAAAATAAATGATTTATCTCAAAGTCAGTCTTTTATTACTATCACCAATTTAGTTAATTAATTAAACTATAATAAAGTCATGGGCAATGCAACAAATAATTCAAACTTATCACAAAATTATTAAAAAGAATTTATGACTATCTGAAGTGTTTGATGCTATTACACCTCCCTTTTGGACATTTTAGCTGCCTAAAATGACTTTATACATTAAAACAGAACTACCATAAAGAAAGGGAAATGGCAGCCCCTTCAACAGCATCTCAGTAAGACAGGAAGCTAAGGTAAAATAAAGCTAACAACTAAGAAGAGGGACAGAGCCAGATGGTGAACTAGAATCATCTCCTAATAGCCACCCATGCAAGGCAGGGGAAAGAAAACTCCAACCACCTCTGGATGGGGGAACCCACCCAGGAACATCACTCAGGGGAGACAGTGAAGCAGTGGTGGGCTACAAGAGCAAATGAGGAGGTCGGAGCTGAGGAAAACCAGAGCAGAATGTGAGTGCTTGGAAACAGGGGACCAGCCGACCAGCCCACCCGGAGGACAGGAACAGGAAAAGGCGGTCCTGCAGTTTTTTGATTTGGAGCTAAACCTGCTCCTGGAGTGGCCTTGGAAGGCTTAAATGAGTGGGTGGACTCAAACAGTGTCCAGCAGCCAGGAGTGAATACTGGGTAGGGTGGATCTCCCATCAGCTTGGTTGCTAGCTGGGTGCCGCCACTGTGGGAAGGCTGTGTGGGAGCAATGGTCCGCAGGGTCCCAGTGCATGGCTGGTTCTGGCATGCCTAATGAGCTCCAGCAGCCACCCCTGCACCTCAGAGAACTGTTTCAGACATGCCTCCTACAAAATGGGGTGAGAGCTTCAGGATCCTAATCCAGTAGGGACTAAATGCTGATGAAAACAACCAGGCCCTGACTGAGAATAACTAAGTCAGAAATACAGGACAAGATATCCTCGGCAGCTAGAGAGTGGATTCTCAACCGACATGTGTATTGTCCATCTCTTAACACCAAAGAGCAAACTGGTGTCCAGGAAATATATTGCAATATAATACACACACACACATTTGGTTGCATTTTTATTATTTCATTTTTACTTTCTTCAATAGCAAGAGCTCCTCCATTTTTGTTACAGTTTTTCAGTCAGTTCTATTCTCTGTTTCTTTATTTTATTTTGATTTATTTGTTGCTGTTTTTTTGAGGCAGACTCTCACTTTGTCACTGTTGGTAGAATGTGTCATAGCTCACAGCAACCTCAAATTCCTGACCTTAAGCAATTCTCTTGCCTCAGCCTCCCAAGTAGCTAGCACTACAAGCGCCCACCACAATGCCTGGCTATTTTTAGACAAAGTTTCACTCTGGCTTAGGCTGGTCTCAAACCCATGAGCTCAGGCGATCCACCTACTTTGGCCTCCCATGTGGTGAGATTACAGGAATTCTCTGTTTCTTATTTCTCTCCTTTTTTCTCTCTTGTGGTAGAAATTTTTCTATTTTTCTCATCATTTCCACATAAATTTCTCATAAACAGCTAAGATATACTTTTTTTCTTTATCTAATATAATTGTACTTCTAATTTTCTTTATCTACAACTGACCTCCAGGAATAGATCCATCAGGGTGACAGTGAACTTTCAGTGGAAACTTTTCAAGCCAGAACGAACAATTTTCAACTGAAAATTCTGTATCCTACTAAGCTAAGCTTCAAAACTGATGGAGAAATCAAAGTTTTTATTGATATGCAAATACTGAGAAAATTCTCCACAAGACCAACTCTATAGGAAATACTTACACCTTTTCTCTACACTAGCCATCACAATGGGCCACCAGCAAAGTAAACACCCAGAAGCTGAAGGACAAAGCCTAGCTTCCACAATGGCAGAAAGGATAAAACTAAATAATAGACTTTCACAAAATAAGATGAACAGAACTCTACCACATTTACCAATGCTCTCAAAAATGTTAATGGCTTGAAATCCCCACTGAAGTGGCAAAGGCTGACCAACTGGATGAAAAAGTAGAAGCCATCTACATGCTGTCTACAGGAAACACACCTAACCTTAAAGAACAAATCTAGACTCAGGGTAAAGGGATGGAAAACAACATTTCAGGCAAATGGAAATCAAAAGAAAGGAAGTGTCACAATCTTATTTTCAGATACACGTGGATTTAAAGCAACTACAGTCAAGAAAGACAAAGATGGTCCCTTCATTCTGGTCAAAGGATTAATATAGCAAGAGGACATTTAAATTCTAAATATATATGCGCCCAACTTAAATGCTCCCAGATTTATGAAATAGACCCGGATTGGTCTGAGCAATATGATATCCTATAACACCATAACAGCTAGGGACTTTAACACCCCTCTGGTTGAACTGGACAGATCCTCAAAACAGAAACTAACATAGAAATAAGGAACTTAAATGTGACTCTAGATAGAACTAATGGGCTTAATAGACATATACAGAACACACCATCCCAAAGCTAAGAAATACACATTCTTCTCAACAGCTCATAGAACATACTCCAAAAGAGATCCCATCCCAGGATACAAATCAATCCTCTTGCCTTCTCAGACTAGAAGGCAATAAAGGCAGAACTCAACTCCAACAAAAATTTTTATCCCCACACAAAGGCATAGAAATTAAAGAACCTTATGCTGAAGGACACTTGGGTCAAGTAAAAGATAAAGGACGAAATTGTTAAATTTCTCAAACGTGACAACAATGAAGCTACAAGTTACCAAAACCTTTGGGATATTGCAAAAGCAGTTCTAAGAGGGAAATTTATCACATTAGATGTCTATATCTGAAAAAGACAGAGAACATATCAACAACCTAATGAATCATTTTAGGAAATGGAAAAGGAAGAACAATCTAATCCTAAACCTAGCAGAAGAAAAGAAATCAAAAGTTATAGTAAGCTAAGGTTAACTTATTATTGAGAAAGAATTTTTTTTAATAAATTAAGTAAAGCCTAAGTGTATGGTGTTTATAAAGTCCTTAGCATTGTGCAATAATGTCCCAGGCCTTCACATACACTTACCACTCACTGACTCACCTAGAACAACTTCCAGACCTGCAAGCTCCATTCGTGGTAAGTGCCCTATACAGGTATACCATTCTTTTAATTTTACATATCATATTTTTATTGTACCTTTCTATATTTAGATAAATTTAGGTACACAAATACCACTATAACAACTGCATGTTAAGTACAGTAACATGCAGTACAAGTGTGTACCTTAGAAGCAATAAAGCCTAGGTAGGTAGCATAATAGGTTATAAATATATGTGTATGTAAATATATACATAATGATGTATATATATGATGCTATAATGATCACATAATGATAAAATCACCAAATACATTTTCCAGCAGGTATCACCATCAGTAAGTGACACATGACTGTACACTTGATGATCCAGAACTTCAGTCAATAAAAACTGTGTGACTAGGCCAAAGTATCTAGAATGTTACATAAGTTTTTAGAAAACAATCTCCCTCAAAAGAATATCTCTTCTCCAATGAACATAAGACAATATTAATTATTTCTGAACAGTTTTGTGTATCTTATTTAATATTATCAAAAGATACTTCTACTTAGAGGCATAAGTCAGTCAGTTAATAACCAGCATACAATGAGGACTTACGTTGTGCACCAGGCTCTACTCTAAGTACTTGGGATATGGCTGTGAAAAGAGCTTCCACCGTCAGGACTACACTCTTGAAAAGGAAGTCTGATTTTAAAAATTAAAAAGGGGGGCAGTGCCATTTTGTGGCTCAGTGGGTAGGGCGCTGGCCCCATATATTGAGGGTGGTGGGTTCAAACCCAGCCCCAGCCGAAGTGCAACAACAACAAAAAGTAAATAAGTAAATATTAAAAATGAATTTTAAAAAAACAAAAGTTAAGGAAATAACCAATATAATTTCAGGCACCAGTCAATGATATTAAAGACAATAAAAGAGGGTAAAAAACAGAAAATAATTTGGGAGAGTTAGTCAAAATAAGCCTATAAGCCTGTAAGCCTCCCTCGGATGTTGAAATCTGAATGGAGACTTAAATGAAGGGAAGGAATCTGTCATGCAGACTGGAGGAAAACACACTGTGGAGGTACACTCTGAAGGCAGCATGCAGAGAACTCAGATTACATAGGAAACATGCAAGAAGGAATCAGATAGGATTCCTACCAACATGAAAAGAATTCTAGCCTGAGCATCTGCTATTTATGGTGCCATTTACTGAGAAAGGGAGGGTTTAGACAGAAATGGATTTGGGAAACAGGGAATCAACAGTGTTGTTCTGGCATTCCTATTAAATGTCCAGCTAGATATATTTATCAGCCATTTGT